TACAGAGGCAATGTTGTGTCCAGTGGGCTTTTGGGTTTTGTCCTTTAGGTTTTAAATAATTTTCAGCTTGCCTTGCATTTGTTTCATTTTTGAGGATTCTAGTCAAATTTAATCACTTTGGATTCTGCGGATGATTTGAAATATTTTTCATGTCTGGGAGGGAGAATCAGTATTAGCCAGGTCTTCTCCTTCCGCGTTTTTGCCTTTGTTGGCCTGATCTTTTTATTCCGTCACGTGGTGATAAAGCAGTGAACAGGCCTGTACTGTCTCTCACTGAAATGAGTCACTCACGCTATCTTGCTTTATAACTTCTATTTAATGAGTCCGTACAAAACAGACAAACAAACAAATCTGAAATTCCTAGGGTATGATGGTGTGCATGTCACCTATTTAAAAAGAGGTTGTGGCACAATACCGATTGCTACAAAATGGAATCACTTCAATGTATGTGTTTAAAACAACAGGAACAAACTACATGAAGCAACGGTATTAAAGAAAGGAAGGTTAGATGGGAACACAAGCTCATCAGAGCCTTTCCAACCTGTATAAATGACCCTCTAAGTCCTACTGTGATAATTCTTGAATTAGTATTCTTGCTAAGTACGCCAGGGCTAAAAAATGCCTTTCATTGCTCCCCTGCCCTTTGTGTCATTTGCAGGCGTGAACATAAAACAAATGTCATCTTATCAAGTAAGACTAAACAAGTGAAAGGTCAGAGAGATGGCAAAGGAGCACAGACCACTTATTCTGTACGGATCAGAGAGGATATCTTCAAAATCATATAAATACATTAGCATTTCACATCTTTTGATTTCCAGAAGAGACATGCCAGTCACTTCTGGAAACGGTTCCTTATTTGGATGATACAGAAACATATTGTTATGACTATTAAACGGGATCTTAAATGTATCTTCTACTTTCTAGAAACCCACCAACGCTCTGGGTTCTGTAAGTCAGCTTGAAAAGATGTTTCAGAAGTCCCAGAGCAAGCCAGCCTTCATCTCCGAAAAGTTTTTATTACTGCTTGCATTCCTTCCACCCAGCACGTACTGGCTGTGTGCCCCCCAACTGCGTGCTGTATCCCCCCAGTGAAACATGTAGTTTGTATTACAAATGCCCTCAGCCCCTTAAGCTGCCCCT